TTAATGATCTCACTAAGGAAGGATGAAAGCACAGTGGAAAGAGCCCAGGTTTCAGAGTCAGACAGACCTGGATTTGCAACTTTCCAGCTCTACCATGTATGCTGGCAATCTGCAAGCCACTTTACCCATCTTAGCCTCAGTTTCCTCATCTGTAAGGTGGAGATCATAACACCCACCTCGAAATGTTGTTGGAAGCAACAGATGGAAATTATATGTAAAGCCTTTAATCCAGTCCATGGCAAAGAACACTTCTTGTTTTTAGTTCATAAGTACTTGTTTAGCTCTTACTGTATACCAGACACTGCTCAAATATGGTAAGGGAGGTCCTATATCACAATTAGTCTTAATTCTTATAATGACCATTGAAATAGGCTCTATTTAAACCCCTTTTGCAATGGAGGAAATGGAGGCACACAAAAGAAAAGCAACTTGCCCAACATCTGATATCACCAAATGGCAGGGCCAGGATTCATATCAATTTCAAAGTCCAAGATTTAAAGTGCTACACTTTTCCTTCTCTAAAGCAATCAATCAATGAATGCTATCTCCTGTCCCTACCGTGTTTTGATGATGGGAGATATGTGACTACTAGACCAGGGTTTTCAGTTGCCACAGGCATTCCTGGTGCAGCCGCTGTGGGAAACAGTATGGAGGTTCCTAAAAAAATAAAAAATGGAACTGCCTTATGACTCAGGGATCCCACTTCTGGAAATATATCTAAAGTAACCTGAAACACTAATTCAAAACTTATATGCACCCCTATGGTCACTGCAGCATTATTTACAATAGCCAGAATTTGGAAGTAGTCCAAGTGTTCATTAGTAGATGAGTGGATAAAAAAAAAAAATTGTGGTAGCCATGCCAGTGTGGCTCAGTGGTTGAGCATCAACCCATAAACAAAGGTCACCAATTCCATTCCCGGTCAGGACACATGCCTGGGTTGTGTGCCCAATCCCCAGTGGGGGTGTACAGGAGGCAGCCACTTGATGATGTTTCTCTCTCATTGATGTTTCCATTTAACTATTCTTCTCCCTTCCTCTTTCTCTAAAAATCAATAAAAACATTTTTTAAAAAAATTTTGTGATAATTTGCACAATGGAATATTATGCAGCCATAAAAAAGAAGGAAACCTTATCTACTGTGACAGCATGGATGGATTTGGAAATTGTTATGCTAAGGGAAATAAACCAGTCAGAGAAAGACAAATACCATATGATTTCACTTATATGTGGAATCTAATGAACAAAATTAATAAACAAAATTGACTCATAGATACAGAAAATAGGCTGACAGCTGGGGGGGGGGGGGAAACTGTATGAAAAAGGTGAAGGGATTAAGCATAAAAAGAAACTAAAACAAAACCAAACCAAACCAAACAAAACAAAACAAAACAAAAACCCTCACAGGCACAAACAACAGTATGGTGATTACCAGAGAGAAAGGAGGGGGGTGGGGACAACAAAACAGAAAGGTAAAGGGGGAGATAAATGATGATAGAAGGAGACTTTACTTGGGGTGGTGAACATACAATACAATTTACAGATGATGTGTTACAGAATTGTACACTTGAAACCTATTTAATTTTATTAGCCACTGTCACCTCCAATAAATTCAATAAAAATTAAAAGAAGTAAAACTAGAAAAAAAAGGAAAGGAAAACACAGAGAAAAAAGGAGAATGAGTATGCATCCTCCTCCTAATTATCCCTAATTACAACTGTCTATACATAGGGTGCCCAAGACAGAAGTAATCTGTCCACATGAGGACCAACCATATAAAGACTCAGCTTCCCCACAGACAAGGGAGCAGAGAAGGAAGTCAGCCTTTTGATGGCCCAAACCTCATCATAAAGAGAGCTTTTGGTTCTTCCCGTATTTAAGATTGCATTTGCCCTACTGCCAACCACAGAGGAAATTTCATTACCAAAATAAATCAGTGCTGCACTTGACCTTGCTTCTCTCATGGCTCTGGATTAGTGACATCACAATGCACTCTACAAACGCTCAGAAATATCAGAATAGCCCCCTCAAGTCAAAAACACTTGGTATTCCACTAAAAGGCATTAAATTATTTTGATTTTACTCCATGGAATCCAAAATGCTTTCAATGTTTTCATTTACAAAATGCTTAAGAGAGAAAGTATGCAACTCTGGACCTTAAGAAACCTCGACTCTTGGTCTGGTTTGTGTTCTGATTCACTTATGGTAAGATGGGGAACAGGCCGCAAGCCAAGGAACAGTAGCTCTGGCCCATAGTGCTCACATGACTCAATCCCCAAGTGGCTGGGGCCTTACTGTGGAGGCTCCCCACTCAACCTTTTCTCGTCCTCAAAGTCATGAGCAGGTCACAGGCAGCTCCAGGGCAGCTCCTCTTAAGGAGTCCAGGATCCATCTCTCATGGCCTGGCTAACTATCATATTTCCTTCCAAAGTAGCAGTAGAAGCAAAGCTTCTCCATGCTGAGAGGAAGCTCAGGGGGGGATGCTTTCTCTCCAAGGCAGATGCATGGAGTGCAGTGACTTCAGGACCACTGCGGCAAATGCATCTCCTGCACCCCCATCTCAGGACACACAACCCTAACGCTGCTCACTCAAAAAGATGACCCATTGTCAAGTCAGGCTGATTTGTGCAGGTGTGGGTGGGGAAAGGGGAGAGGGTACTATCCATACAGAGCATGTGCTCTCAAGAAGCCTTCAGAATCTGATGAGCATGGGTATTAAAGATGTGTTTCCACAAGCGGCACCTTGTTTTTCAATGAACTGACTGAGGTACACGTCACAAAATCACAGTATCACAAAATGCCAAAGTACCAAGGACCCATGGACAACATCTACTTCCTCCCTCCCTCCCTCCCTCCCTCCCTCCCTCTCTCTCTCTCTCTCTCTCTCTCTCTCTCTTAAAAAGGAGGGAAAAACTGAGACACAGACCAAAGGTAGGCTTGTTTGAGTTCACTGTTGGTAGATGACTCAAATCCAAAACGTCTCACCATTCTACTTCCTAACCAGCTGCCCCTGACATCCAATTATTAACAAGTGCTCTTACTCCGTTATTTTCGCACACAAAAAAAGTATATTTATGATGAGATTATCAGCAAAATGTTTAAATATAGCATGGCTGGTACCTAAAAAATGCACTCAAATGGAGAAAACAAAATTGAAGTTGAAAAGATAAACTTTTGCTTTGAATTATGTCCACAGCCCTGAAACCTAAGGGGTCAGTGCCCTTCCCACTATTCCCTGTGACAAATAAAGGGCTGTCGTTATTCCCCACCAGGATTTCAAATAGTAGGCCAATATTTTAGGTTACAGCAATTTCTGGGTAAACAAATGGGAGTTGTATAAGGTAAAGTAGCCTGAAACCACCTTCACTACCCATAATAAAATCAGTTTCAAAGAAGGCTGGAAGATTAAAGTGCTTTTCTCTGCCTTTAAAATGGGGAGGGAGGTTTCATTTTTAGGTATGAAGACAAGACCCTGAAAACAAACAGCCAGGCCTAGGACGAATAGATCAGGAAAGATACAAACACACAGAAAATCAAAGGCCCTGAAACTTTTTACCACAGCAACTGTGATGTTTCATCCTGGGTCCATTTCAGCAGACCCAATGAAGCTTCTTTGGCTACAAAAGATTACATGAGAGCATAAAACAAATTCTGAAGGTTTGGGTTCTCTCTCCCATCCCTCCCCCCCACCCCCCGGTGTGTGTGTGTGTGTGTGTGTGTGTGTGTGAGAGAGAGAGAGAGAGAGAGAGAGAGAGAGAGAGAGAGAGAGAGAGAGAGGGAACACAAGAACAACAGGCTTAGAGACTAGTGTTGCAGAAAGCAAAATTTTCCTTGTTTCCATTACATCATCCAAGTTGGAGACAGGGAGGGCGGAGTGGGGGCACAGCTGGTGGCAGCTGCACCACCATCTGCTTTCTCCTTAGCAGTGTGTGCTAGTTTGAGTTGCAGCCTCCTATGGCTCCTGATAGAGGAGGCACAGTATTAAAGGTACAACAGCCTATTATGAAAAGCTTTCAAATTATTTAGAAATAAGTCACTCTTATGGTAAGTTAACTTCAGGTAGGTTGCTAAGCCAAAGTTCTCTTTGAGTTTAGGCTATTTGTTTGCATCTCTTTAGACTCAGCTATAGTGCAAACTCTGTTAACTCAATGTGCTCAATTAGACAAGTAGAATATACAAGCAACCACCTGCCATCTGCTTCCCAAAAGGTAAGCAGCCAAAAAAAGCATTAACAGAAGGACTGGGGAATGCCCAACCCTAGCAGGCAAGCTCTGGAGTTTGGTATCCTAAGCCATCTGGACAACCAGTCTTGTCCTCTTGGACACTCATGGGGTTTCCTTCAGAATACACTGCCTGGCATCCCTTCTAGAAGGGAAGATGGGTAAGAATAGGCTGGGGAGAGAGAGGTTAATGCCCTGTCTGCCATTCAACTGCAAAAGGGCAATGAAGCTGCAAACAGGTGGTCTGATTAAACCATACACATATTTTATCTAGTCTCTACAGGGTTATGTTAAAAAGAAAAAAGTGCTGACTTTTCAAAATGAGTTTTCCTATATAAACATCTAGATTGCCATCTCTTCCGGGGGGGGGGGGGGGAGGGGGAGATTAAGCTATATGGCATCAACAGACCTCTTTTTCAGTTATCTGGGGGTAAGCGACTGCACTTTCTTCCACTAGTCATGCGTTCTGAGGAACGTGCTCTCACACTAGTGTCTCAAATGCCATTGCATCTATCTATGTTCCACTTGGACCTAGAGAGCTTTTGATATAATGTCTCTGAGCATGGAGAGGAAGAAGAAACCCCAAAGGAATAATTTCCCAACTGTCCTGTACTGATTCTCCTCTTTAGCTGCGAATTCATCCCTTGGATGGCCAACTAAAATTCTGCCAAGATCATTCAACACAACATAATGAACAGATCTAAGTAGAAGACTAGCTATAATGGCCCCTCGATACAAAAGCAGGTTGCCTTGTTTCAAAGAGGCATTCCAGACCACTTACCATACATCTTGCCTTCATCTGATAAGATGATTTTCCTCCTCCCACATGGTGGATAGATAGCCAAGGCTTCCTGAAAGCTCTGCTCAATGTCAGGACTCCAGACCCCTTCCGCATCGTTGTCAATTGGCTTATCTGCAGAGTCACTCATCCTTTCCATGTTTTCGGCAGGGCTCTCGCTGCCGCTCCAGCTGCTGGGCTCAATTTTGGCGGTTGGGTTTTCCAAGCCGAAGCCTGGAGCCTTTTCAAGAAAATAAACCTAATAAAGAAATGAAAATATGGTGTGATAAGGATGAGGTAACCACCAATATACTGCTCCTTGCTAGTTTCATTGCACATTCTTCAGTTGGCAGATCTGAATAACTGATAGTGGAAAATATGGAATTTTGAGACCCAAGTGGATTTTTTTCTTTATGTATTCATGCTAGGCACTCAATACAGAAACATAATGGCCGACAGCAGCTGTATAATCTTCGCAAATGAGGGAAAGTTTTCATCTAAGAATAGTATTCACTCTGAGTTGCAAGTTCACAGTGAACCATGCAAAACCATTTACTAAGTGCCTACTATCTACCAGGCGCACTCTGTTCAATAATAATTGAATCTCCATAGCAGAACAATTTTATTTAAAAGAAAATAAAGTAAAACAAAAGATGTCTGCCTCACTGTGGCCATCGACATGGTAACTCTGAAATGTTAAATCATCCCAATATTTGTCACTGAGGTCACCCAGATGCGAGATAGTGGCAGGGTAAAAGGAAGAAAAGAGATTATTTTGTTATCACAAAACTCACTCTACTATGACAGCTGACTTGGACCTGCCAGTCTATAGCCAGTCTCTGTGGGACATTGAGCCTGAACAGTCAGGTCACATTGCCACTGTCAGCTTCTAGATTGTAACCTTGAAGCAGGGACCAAGTTGTCCCCATTCCTGCCTTCCCTGCAACAGCTACAAGAAGCCAGCACATTTACATAAAGAAATGGTTTACACCTACATTGGCACTTTGGTAGCCTACTCAGAATTCCTGATCTTAAGGAAACTGTGGGGAAGACTTTCATTTCTTTCTCTGTAGCACTGAAGGTTACAGAACCAAAGAAATCTTTCTCAAAGATTAAAGTATGCATGAAACCTATGGTCTTAAAGGGATAAGCTTTCCACACGAATGTCAAACAGGCACAAAACACCCATGTGAAAATGATCTAATCCGGTACCCCCTGCTGTCCACACACTAACATATCAATATTCCTTTGTTGAAAAGGCATCAGATCATTAATTCAAAGGCTTCCCCCCAAAGGGGAGAATTGTTCCTAGCAACTGATCGAAGAAGGGAGATGTCAGGGTCACAGTAGAAAGAGCTTAGTGGGCCCCACCACTCCCTGTCTTCTGTCCTATCAAATTTAGGCAACATTACAATAGAGGCAGCCAGGAGGGGAGCAGGTGCTGGCCCCACCAGGCACCAGGGACTGCTCCATGCTCCAGGGCAGTTACCTGAGAGCCAGCAGCCTGTTTTCTTTCTTTCTCCTCCTGATTATATCCCTTTCCTATGCCCTCCCCCACCAGTGTATATCAACAGATCCCAGGTGCAGAAACTCTGAGGCACATGAACATTACACAATTAATGGTATAACAAGTGGGTGATTTTGGCTTGGTAACCTGACAGCTTTTGAGATTTGGCAGCACCTGGATAAAAGAAACCCCCAGGTTGTCTGCCTTTAAATGCTGTCACAGATCCATCATTCAAAGAACTTGTCAGCAAAATATTTACTACTTCTTACCAACACATGTACATTGGCACCGGACTTTAAAAACTGCCAAATGTTGAGGTATAAATTATGCCACAAGAAAGGGTTTTGTGATTAACCCCCAGATGAACTCTGCAATGCCTGCAGTGTGGGCCTTTTGAATTCTCAAATTATTACATTTTTTGTTGGAATCTAAGAGTCTTATAATATTCAAGCTGAGCTGTATGCTCCCCTAGAGTCTGTTCTAGCTCCAAAGCAGTTTGTTAGAGAAATTATGAGAATATGATGAATGCTTTGAGCATTGGCTAATCTGCTGTCTTCCTCTCCACCTAACCTCCCCCACCCCCACAACCCCCAAAACAAAACAACAGACATACAAAAACACAGGCCAGTCTTTGAGCTCTGGGCAGCTCAGAGAGCCATATCTATAATAATAAAAGCATAATATGCTAATTAAACCAGACGTCCTTCCAGACGACCTTCCAAAAGAAGCTGAGGCTGCAAGGGAAGCCCAGGTCCCAGGTACTGGCAGAGGAAGGTTTACTCTTGCACGAATTTCGTACATCGGGCCTCTAGTTTTAAGATAAACAGTAATGTACTCAGCATGCAACCCATATAGTAGAGGGACAGAATCCAGGACAGTGAGGGCCAGCAAAGGGACTGGGGAACTTTACATGCCTAAGAAGAACATCACCATGTCACTGAGCACCTCAGTGTCTTCAGACCAAACTCCCCAACACTTCCCTAATCCAATGCTTGCAGTCCCCTCTAACACTTCTCAACTGGTCATATAATTTATATATGAATATCACCAATGACAAAAAAACCCACTACCTCCACAATGACATTTTGAAATTCTTCCATCTACTAGGCCAAAACCCATGTACAGGTTAACTTCCATCCCTTGCAGAAGCAAATCTCCCACCCAAACACCCATTTATATGTAACAGGAGCAGCCCTACTGTGACTTGGATTAGACATAATTCACATAATACCTGGCTCAGCCCTCATGAATGCATCCCAGTTAGTCCATGGCCCTCAATAAATGATGCTCAGAGATGGACTAGGACCCACAAAACATCTAGGCTCCCACACTTCAAGTGCTATTCCTGATTTCCCTTCTCTAGTGTAACTGGTTTAGGAGCTAAAGGCAGAGGGTTATTTATAAATCCATTATTTTAGCCTACATGGCTCAAAGCTGGTAAGATTTTATTGAATCATAATTGCAAGCTTAGTGTTCTTAGACACTGAACATCCTCTGAAGAGCGGGCTGTCACATAGAGAGAGTGCTGACCCATTCTGTGGAAGTTCTAAGATGATTCCAGCTCAACGTGAGAAAAAGTTCCTGCTAGTTGAGCTGTTCAAAAAGGGCTGGGCTGGCTGCCTTAAAGACAAACAGCAGAGTCTTTTAGACAATCCCTTAAAGTAACCTCTAAAGCTGGGAGTCACAAGCCCTTGGATGTTTGGGGAATGCAGTATTAGCATTAATTGATCCATCCACTTAATAAACACAGGCACTGTTCGAAATGCTCGCTTTTTTTTTTTTTTTTTTTTTTTTTCATTTACTGCAAAGGGAAGAACTCTGTGTCCAGGCCCTTGCAATTTGGTCAACGGGAGCTCAGCAGGATGGAATTACCTACTCTGGACAAGGGCCAGGACACAAACCCCAGAAGCTACCAGATACATAATCCACAGAGTTATACAGGCCCTTGGTTTTACAACCCAATTGTAAGATGAGGCCCTGTATGGGCAGAGAGTTTCCAATCACAAGACTGGGGCTGGCTGAGAAAAGCTCCCCGTACTGGATACTGAAATAACCATTCTGGCATTCTATCCCTCAGGTTCCTTCCAAACCAGCTCAAAATCCACCTCATCCTGGAAACTGTCCTTGTATCTAGTGGCTCAGAGTATCAGCCACACATTAGGAGTGTCCTAAAAATGTGTGGCATTGGTTAAGTACCACCCAATATACCTGGTTTCCACATATACAGCAAGAAGCACCTGCTTATTACAAATAATAAGATCTATAATGAAGAGAAATATGCATAGAATATCTGTGCCTGTAGAGCTGATGTCCACCTCCTCATCCCTTTTTTGAGCAAGGGAGTTAACTTTCACACAATTCAGTAAATAAAGAACAACATAGAATTGGGGGGAGGGGGGAACGACACGGCATGATATTCAGGCTCAAACTAATCTGGACTCCAAACCTGGCTCACACACTGGCCATGCAGTCCAGAATGAAGTAGTTAATCTCTTAGAATCTCAGATTTTACTTGTAAAATAGAGATAATAAATACAATCCCAACATAGGAAAATCATTAAGGGGTGGAGGGACTCTATCTGACAGGGTTGTTGTAAAGATTTAAAGATAATGAGTGAAGGTGCTCTGTCATCTGTAAATCCATGACCAGATGTTCATTTGTTTTCAAGTCCATTATCTCTAGACAGTGGTATGTGCCTTGCAGTGCCCAAATACCTACCTATAATGGGATGGTGAAGAAATGAAGGTGCTCTCCTAATGGTTCCCTTTGGGAAATAAAGTTACAAAGGACCTTTAGATTACTAGTAAATAAAAAATTTAAATTTGTAACAAACCCTTCTATTTCTAATACTTATAATAAACCTACACTTATATTCACAGGTTCAATAATTTTCATTATTTTTCTGTGAAGTTTGGTTCAAGGGAACAATCCCAAACCTAAAGGAATGCCTAAAAGGAAAGAAAGAAAGAAAGAAAGAAAGAAAGAAAGAAAGAAAGAAAGAAAGAAAGAAAGAAAGAAAGAAAGAAAGAAAGAAAGAAAGAAAGAAAGAAAGAAAGAAAGAAAGAAAGAAAGAAAGAAAGAAAGAAAGGAAGGAAGGAAGGAAGGGAACTTTTGTTGTTGAAAATCTACAATATATCATGTAGCCCCTATGTGCCTCAGTTCCATCATTAACACTTTTCTAGAAGTTCCTCTTTTTTTTTGAAACTCTTTCTAGCCACACTATAATAAACTCCAAAAAGAACTGTTAACAGGCCAACAGCCACACTTCCTAAATGGATCATTATTTTACAACTACCCACTGGCACTCTAAGAAGAGCAACACGAGTACCACAGAATGACATCATATGTATATTTGACCAATCCACATTTTAACTTAAGAGCTGAGGACAGAAGGGGGTGAGAGAGTCAAATACAGGTGCTTCTGACACCAACTCTATTCACGGAACGTATGAACAAAGGATATGACATAGGACCCAGGAATCTGCTGCTCCATCTTAATTCCTGTGGATCCCTCATAATGCAAGCATCTCACCCACTTGTGGGTGATTTAAGAGCTTTTAAATAAAAGGGTTAGTTTTAACTCTCATGATTCATGAAATACCACTGAACATGAAGGTCACACACAAAATCATACACTTTGTATTAGCCCATGTCTTAACACTCTTTGAGGCAAAAGGAAAGGAGCTGGACTAGGAATTAGGACTCTGTCTTTATTTAAGTAACCCAGGACCATGTGGTACTTGAGTGTCTC